CCCGAACCCCAAACCCTGAACCCCAAACCCTGAACCCTGAACCCGAATCCCCCTGAGCCCGACAATTCTCATGCCCTCGACATGATTTTTGACCTGATTTCCGGACTGGGGATTTGGGTTTAGGGTTTAGGATGCAAGGGCTAAAGTTTAGGTTTTTGGGTTTTAGGGTTTAGGGTGCAAGGCCTAAAGTTTAGGTTTTTGGGTTTAGGGTTTAGGGTTTAGGGTTTAGGGACATGTGTTGTTTTTGTTGGTTGGGGTTGTAGCCTTTCGGAAATTAGGGTTTTCGCTTTGATGGTTTGGTTTGGAAGTTTTGGCTGGAAGTTAACTTTAGCTGCATTGGTAGTTCGGCTTTTGGATTGGACAAAGGGTTCCTGTTGGGGTTCATGTTGTTTTTCGTTGCGGGTCAGCGCTAGTCACTGACGCAAGGGAATACGTTCGGGGCAATATCATATCGCTGTTCCAAAAGTTCAAGTGCGGGCTAAGGACCATTTCAAGCCCCAAGCCCCACCTAGAATAACCAAGGTATTGTGAACCAGCGGCAAAAGCACATGCTGTTAGGTATCGGTCATAGGTCGCTTGAGATGGGGTATAGTTGTAACCTTCCATAGCTAGCCTAGTTCTCCAATTACAACTGCCCCTAAACCCCCAAGCCTTAACCCTAAAGCCTTAAACCCCACACCCCAAACTATATCTACCCGTGGACCTCCTAAAGCCTTAACCCTAAAGCCTTAAACCCCACACCCCAAACTAGAACTACCCCTAAACCCTAAACCCTAAACCCTAAATAACCCTAAACCCTAAACAAGTACGCAACTCCCGGGCCCCAAAACCTTGCAAGCCGCGAGGCGCACGGTGCCGGCCTCCGTGTCTACATGTGCCCGTCGCATGAGGCCGCGCACAAGTCATCAAGGAACCTTGCCCCAAAGGCTCCTAAGGTACCTATATGAGCCTATATAGGGTTTAGGGTTTAGATCAAGAGGCTCCTAAGTACCTACATATGTTTGTCCAATTATATGTAGTTCCTTCTTGGGGGTTTAATCAATTATATAGTAAGGAATTTATAAGGTCTCCCCCAAGAAGGAACTACAATGGAGACTACAGGTGGGTTGGGAACTGTAGGCTGGGAAAGCCCTAAGTCCTGGAATTAACTGCCGTGAACTTGATCCTGCTTAGGGTTTAGAGTCTAGGGTTTAGGGTTTAGGGGTTTAGGGGTTTAGGGGTTAGGGTTTAAGGTTTAGGGTTTAGGGGTTTAGGGGTTTAGGGTTTAGGGTTTAGGGTTCAGGGGCGAACTTGATATCATGTTTTGAGTTTAGGGTTTAGGGAATGTGTAGCAGACCAACGGGCGAACACTCCAATCGCTCAGGTAAGGTCCCTGGGTTCCCCCCTTCTAAGGGGCCCCTTTTCCCAAAAAACTGATCGTGACACATCGGTGTTTTTTCGGTTTAGTAACCCTAAACCCTAAACCCTAAACCCTAAACCCTAAACCCTAAACCCTAAACCCTAAACAAACCCCCAAGTTCTCAATCAAACCCTAAGTCAACAGTGCCCCATTCTCGTCGGTTCCTCTGGCTGTTTGAGGCCTAGGGCTTTAAGGCTCTGGGCTTTTTCTGCCAAAACCAACAAACCCCCGAAGCCCTTTACAGTAGTGCACCAAATTTCAATACCCATCCTCAGCCCCTTATAAGAAGGCGCTTCTTATGACAGCAAAAAGAAAGCACCCGACTGAAGACAGAAGGCTAGCGGGCCTGCTATAGACTGACACTAGTAAGAGCCTTGAACTCAGTATCTTAGTAGAGATTCCCGAAGTTTCTACGATCTTCCTATAGTCTGCAGGACTTTGCGTCAGAAGCCAAAGAGCCAAGACCAACGACATCCCTAAGCCTAAACCCTACACCCCCCTGAACCCTCAACCCGGAAGCCCCCAAACCAAACTAAACCCGCCCTGACGAAAGTTCTGCCAGGGAGCGGCCTGGTGTGACGATGGCCTGCCAGAGCACTACTTCCGTATCTGCGACGAAGACTCCTATGCCATTTTTAGGGTCTCGGCAAGCCCTACACCCTAATGCCTAAAGCCTAAGCCCTAAACCCTACGCCCTAAGCCCTAAACTCGAGGCCCCAAAGCTGAAGCCCTAAAGCCTACACCCTAAGCCCTAAACCCTAACGCCTAAAGCCTAAACCCTAAAGCCTACACCCTAAGCCCTAAACTTCTTTGGGACTTGGGGAACTCTGGGTTTAGGTCCTAAGTGCCCGAGCAATATGCGGTGTTAGGTGCCCAAAACCTCGCGGCATGGTGTCTGGACGTCTAAAAAGCCCTAGCTCCATAAGACTATGTAGGGCACCGAACTTGGTGCTCTTCGTCTCCAAGCGAGTCGCTGAGTCCCAACCTCAAGTTACCTAAGATCTTGTATTGGGTTCCTCTCAGGAGTTCTGGGTTTAGGGCCAGGGTACAGGGTTCCGGGAGAGTATGGACATGGCCAGACCTCACGCACGCTCATTTCTTGGATCACAGAGTCCCATGCTCGAGACTTTCGCAGGTAGGAGACACTTAACTTCGGAAGTTGCAACCACTGACTTCACTGATGGCCTACTTTTGAAGTCCCTTAATCCTCTCGAACAGGCAAGAATCCCCGTCCGCCACACTCCAAATTCAGCTTAACACTCAAGCAGGTCCGCCAACGATCAATGAGTATTCCTTGTAGCCGTGTACATGCTGCATCTTATTTCACAGGCTTGCAGCCTCACAGCTTCACCTTACTCTAGGCTAAGTATGCACTTCTGTTGCCTGAAGCATAAAAGGTAAAACCTAAACCCTAGTTCCTAAGCCGCAATTCCTAAGCCTAAGCCTAAACCCCTATACCTAAACCTGAAAACCCAAACCCGAATACCTAAACTGTAAGTAAGCGCTGTAAGCTTTTAGTATGTTGCCAACTCAGGCACAACAAGCGGTTCTAGAGATCCCATCAGCGGGGCGAGGTGCATCGTGGAAGAGTGTTCTTTTCCGCCTGTATCCCTAAGCCCGTAGAATTTGTGGTAGACCCTAAACCCTAAACCCAAACAGCCCGTATTAGTAGTGATAGACCCTAAACCCTAAACCCTAAGAGCCCGTATCATTAGTGATCGACCCTTAGGGTTTAGGATTTTGTTTTTTTTTCTTGCCGGGCTTAGGGTTTTCAGGCCTAAGCCTTGAACGCCTAAATTCCGGTTTAGGGTTTTTCGGTTTGGGTGTCTTTTTTTGGGGTTTTTGGCTTACAAACTGAAGGCCCAAGGTACAGCGCGAAGCCACGCTTTGGGGGACTTGGGGTTCGAAGTGAGGGTCTTGGGTTTGTGTTTAGGGTTTAGGGTTGAGGATCTTGGGTTTGTGTTTAGCGTTTAGGGTTGAGGATCTTGGGTTTGTGTTTAGGGTTTAGGGTTGAGGATCTTGGGTTTGTGTTTAGCGTTTAGGGTTGAGGATCTTGGGTTTTTGTTTAGGGTCTAGGGTTTAGGGTCTTGGGTTTACTTTTGGATAACATGTACGCATCAGGGGCTGCTCCGGAAACCCTAGTCAAGTGTGAGATGTGCGTTCATGTAGGGTTTGGAACTTCGAACCTAGGTCTAGGGTTTCAGGGTGTAGGTGTGGGTTTAGTTTTTTTTGGGTTTCAGGGCCTATAGTCACGGCCACATAGCGGGTAATGCATGCGAACAAGCCGGTGGGAAGCAGGCTTTTCCGCAAGCCTGTCGTGAAGGCGCTGAAACCTGGGTGCGTCTTCCCAGGGAAAGCTTTCCGAAAGGTGGGCACGGAAAATGCAAAGACCCAGTCGTCAAGCCCGTGTCGCCTTGCACAGACACCCCGATAGCGGAGGCTTCTGGGAACCACATTGTGAGTGCATGGTCAAAGAGGTCGGCTTCCATCTCGAATTTTCTGCTGCTTGTCCTTCAGTCTTGCATCATCCAGAACTTAAGCTGCCCCTGGTAGTGTATGCTGATGACTTTAAGGTGCCTGGACCGAAGCAGAACATGCCTAAAGGATGGGAACTGAATGCATCCAAGATCGACAAGGACACTGACACCCCCTCTCAGCGGGAGATATCTGGGTTGTGAACCTGCGCCCACCTTTGCCGAATGACATGGCTTGGTCTCTGCCCAACCTTAAACTGCCTTAAATCCGCAAAACTAGAAGCCCTAAACCGTGGGGAAGCTAAACCCTAAACCCTAAACCCTAAACTGAAGCCCTAAACCATAGGCGCTGAAGTCTCCGAGGTCGAGGTGAAGAGCCCCCTTCTTGTAGAACCGATATAGGCCGCTTTTTATAACGGAACTAAATTAGGGTCACTTTTAGGGTTTGGGGATTAGGGTTTAGGGTAATATAATGGATAGTTCTCCAAATTAGGGTCCCTTTCTGGGTCCTTATTAGAACCCCAAAAGGGACCATAATTTTGACAACTACCCATATGGATAGTTCTCCAAATTAGGATCCCTTTGGGGGTCCTTTTTATAAGGGTGCCGCACTATATTGGGGACCTAAAAAAAGGACCCCAATTTAGAGAACTACCTATACAGGCCGCTTTTTATAACGGAACCCTTGAAAAAGGAAGCCCCATTCTAATTTAGTGCCCATAGTTCTCCCTTTGGGATTACCCTTTATTATCACTTTACTAGAACATACACCAGAACCCCATTCTAATTACTATAGGAGCCTAAATAATTACCAATACTATTCTGGGTGTTCCTGATTATAGTTTTAGTATAGTATACCACAATTTAAAACCCTATTAGAAGTATTGAGGCCCCTAAACCCTAAACCTTTATAGTAGCCCTTATAGAACCCTTTAAGGAACCCTTTAAAGGAGCCCCAAAACCCTATTCTAATTATTAAGGCCCCTAGATTACCAGGACCCCTATTTCTAGATCTTAGGAGCCGAGTAGTTCTTTTCGCAGGCTCTTCGACTACGAGGAGCCAGAGGTCAGTGGCCAAGTATTTGCGGTGTTGGAGTCTAGAGTTTAGGGTTTAGGGTTTAGGGTTAGGATTTGGGGTGACATTGGAGTGTCGAGTTTGTTGTTGCCACTGTTCAGGATTCTTGGGGCGGGGTTTAGGAACTGGTACTTATTTTAGTGCGGCAGTGGCGGCGTCAAAGTTTGCCCCTTTGACTTTGACAGGTGCAAAGATTCAGCCTGCATGGGCCGGCATGACATTCTGAGCCACCCTAGATCCTGAATCTCTAAGCCCTTATAAAGCCCCAAAGCTCGAAGGCCCTACAGAATAAAGGCTAACGGCCCTTTGTCCTAATGTAGGGGCCTTAATAATCACCTATGCTGCTTTGGGGCTTCCTTACCAAGATTATAGTATGATGGCCCCCCCCAAACCCTATTCTAACTATTAAGGCTTTACATTAGACCCTAAACCCCCGACTCTTGGCCCTAAACGACGAACTCCAACCGGTCCGAACCGTGACGGAAGCCCACATCTTCCTAGCCCTGTGGAATGGGGTACCTCTGTTGGGGTTTAGGTTTAGGGGATTCTAGGTTTTTTCTAATTTCAGGGTCTGGCCTAGCTGAGCACAAGATAGAGTTTTCCAAAAACTGCGCTAGAGTGAGCCCGAACACAGAACGTCCCAGGCCCTGAACCCTTTAAAGGGAATTCTATTCGACTTTTCGAGTGAGGCCATGTAATGTGTCGGGGCCAAAAATATTTACCAATACTCTGTTTGGGGGCTCCTTGTCATATTTTTTTGTATTATGGGCCCCAAAACCCTATTGTAGTTCTTAAGGCCCCTACACCCGAACCCTTGCAGTAGCCCTTATAGAACCATTTAAGGAGCCCTTTACAGGATCCCCAAAACCCTATTCTGATTATTAAGGCCCCTACATTACGCGGCTTAGGAATTTAAGACTACTGTAGGGTTTGGGGGACCCGGGATGCTACAATCTTGTTCCCTTTGTTTCGAGTAGTATAGAAGCGTGGCATTATTCTTATTCTTCTTACTATTAGTAGTAGGAGTAGGAGTAGGAGTAGGAGCCCTAGTACTAGTACTAGTCTTCCCATAGCCCAGAACGATTCAGGAGGCTCCTTCAAGCGTGTTCAAGCTGACTGTAAGGCAACTGGAGTTCAGGTACTGCTGTAGTAGAAGGCCATAACCTCATCCCAGAGCTGTTGCAAGCAAGGTGGTTCGCTTCCTTTTGAGCTACCTGTCTGAACCGACACAGGGTTTCACCTGTCGTTCTGGTGTTAGGGGTAAAGATTACGGTTAAGGTAGCAGGACGGTGCATTGTTCTTCCTTGCTATGTGTCGTTTTTCCCAGCAGACATCTTACGGCTGCGTTTTACTACTAGTGCACGAGCGCATTTCAAGGCCGAGGAAGTCTTGCAAGCGAGGCGGATCTAGGAAGGAGGTGGGTAATATGGCGGCTATACTTACTTATGCTACTAGGGGGTTCCTTATTATGATTTGCAGTGAAACATACCCCCAAAACCCCATTCTAATTATTAAGGCCCCTACCAGGACCCCCCAATGGCCCTTTAATAGAGCCCTTATGGTCGTTAATAGTGGGTATTTAGGGGGTAGTTGGGGGGTGCTGGTAGATGACCTGTCCCCTCGGGTCCAAGGAGGCCAACAGCAAAATACCCAAGCCCACAAGCTGCCAAAGTGTCACCTTTCCTGCGGACATCTTGTAATATAATAGGGTTCTGGGGCCCATTATACTATAAATATAATAAGGCA